GGGGGGCCTCTCCCTGGCTCCAGCAGCATCTCTGCCCGGCGCCCGCAGGCCTGTGTCAGGGGTTACCTGCTGCGGAAGCGCTTCAGGAGCCTGCGGGCAGAGTATGAGGAGGTGGTGCGGGAGATCGAAGGAGACCTGAGCCAGCTGGAGTGGAGGGGACGGTTCCTGCCGCGGCCCGTGTTTGTCCCCGAGGTCCGTGCGTCGGGATGGGTGGGGGCTTCTGCAGCCCCGTCTGATGGGGGGGCACAGCGGGTGGTGTGGCCCGGTGTACTGGGCAAATGATACTTTTGCAGCATAGTGCCAAAAATGCGTATTTCTACCAAATTAACAACAATAATTATGTAGCCCTGGCCTGTAAGACTCTGCCTGTCTTGTGCCTGCGTCCCCGACTGAGGATTTCTTCCTCCAGGCGAAGCTCAGCCTTAGGTCAAACACCCGACCTGTGCGGGTGACTCCTGCGGGTCTTGTCCCTGGGCACCCACCTCACCCGGTTGTGCTGAACGGCCAGACCCGCTCCTGCGGTGGCTGAGAGCCGCACTCTAATGTTTTTACCACTTTTGGAAGGAAAGCCCTTGAAAAAGTTCAACCCAGAGCATATTGGTGTCGTGGCAGGAGCGCTGCTAACGCCAGGTCTCCGGCTGGGACAGAGTCTCTGTCTCGCAGCAGAGCCACTTTTCAGATCTTTATATTTTCTTTTCCTTATATTTCAATCTCTTCGTGTGTTGCCCCTTTGGAAGCCAAGACAAGGGAAGTGTTCGGGTCCACAGGAGGCTGTACCGAGTGACGAGCTCAGCGCAGAAAAGCTGCAAGAGAAGCTGGACGCCTCTGAACCAGAACAGGACTGGGGCTGCAGCAGTGTGAAACGTACAGTTCGGCTGCAAAGCGAGAAAGAACTGAGCTCCCCAGGTGAAGGCGATGTAGTGAGCCCCCCAGATCTCGGGGGTGATGCCAAGAAACACACGGAAAAGGAGTGCAGTGCCCCAGCGGAGAGCGAGGACTGGCAGAAGGACAGCAGCGTATCCTCTGTGTGGGACAGCGCTGGCCTGGAGGCAGAGTCCCTTGAAGCCTGCCTGGGTAAGAGACAGGAACCAGCACACAGCGTGGTCTGAGTGACATGGGGAGGAGTGCAGGGGGCACAGAAGGTCCTTGGAGAACCTAGATCTTGAGAATATCTTGGAGAGGTTAGAACAGCTCCATGCAGGAGAGACAGCAGGTGTAATCTGAATCTTTATTCTAATAACCCTCCATTTCTTTTCAGAAATTCCACTTGAGGACATAAAGGAGCTTCCTCGAACTCGGTCCGGTCTCCAGGCCTACAGAAATCACTTGATCATGGAGTTGCTGTGGTTGCAACAAGCCATCGTCAGCCGTAAAAACGTAAGGGCCTGGCCCTGCCTCTTCCAGAGCAGCGGGTCAGGCCGGTGCCCGTGGGCAGCCCGAGCAGTGCTGTCTGCAGTGGGACTGGGGTTCAGCAGGGATGGCTCAGTTACCCAAGGACTGGAGTGGATTGGATAACGGCAGTGTTGGTTTTTTCCTTCTCTGGGGGGAAAAAAACCCAAAAAGGAATGGTGAAGGAAAAGAGCTGTTTAGATCTGGTTATAAGCTTTGCTCCTGGGCTGCTATGGGGATGTTGGTAACTCTCCTGTCTGTCCAGTTCCTGGGCGCTGGTAGCGTAGTGAGCTGCTCTTTGTGGCGCTTGAAAGGTGAGACTGGTGCATCTTCTGGCCCAGTGCAGTGATTTTTCTGGCTAATTTGCAGGGACGGATGCTTTCCTACTTCTAGGTCTCTGGGACTCAATCACTAACACTTGATTTTCTTTCTTTTGCAGTATTTGATGCTGAAACAGAGGCTGGGGAATCCGGACCTGTAGGAGGGAATTCCCGGGCACGTGGGGCACTTGTTCTGGTGTGGAGAACCGTGGAGCTGCAGCACCGTCGTTGTGACATGACCTCACAGACAGCAGCAGCTTAGGGGAAGTCCAGCTCTGTGGGTTGATGTTTTCCACTTCAGATGAATGTGGCAAGAAAGCCTTTTATTTCTTTTAAACGTGAATATTTGGTCAAAGCAGGGATTAAACATCGCTGTGAAGCCTGGGAGGTTGTTGTGTGTCCCCGGAGGGAGTCCCGGTGAGGCCTCTGTCCGCAAGAACTTCTTTCTGTTGGCTGAGCTGGATGGTCCTAGGGGAGACTGGAGGCTGGGAAGACTGTCACTTACAGAAGGTGCTTTCTGACCAGCTGATCACTTGTGGTGGAACTAAAACGCCTGAAGGCAGCAGGTGCTTTGAACCTGCAGGAACAAGCTCTTCTCCACTGAACTGTGCGTGGCCCCTGTTGGTATCTGAGCTGTGTACTCGGGATGGCTCTGCACCTCACAGCTCTGCAACATCTAGGCTTTGGGGAGCACCTAGTGGAAGTACTAAGTTAGGAGACATTCCTAACTTTCCTGTGCAGTTAGGGAGTGATGGCACGTCAAACCTGACCTTCAGGAGATGAGGCTCGGTTCCCAACTTGCATGTGGCTGTGGTCAAATTTCTCTGTGTGGCAGAGTCACCTGGACTGGTGCTTGAGGGAGCAAGGACAGGCTTGCGGGGTTTGGCACTTTGTCTATATGTGGCTTCAGGGGCACTTGAGGTCCCTCAGAAAGGGACTTCCCATGCAGTGCTGTGGTTCCCTGCTGTGACCCCGAATCTTCTGTGCAAACGCTGACTGAAGGGTCACTCTTGCCATGTGGCAGATGTATCTTTCTGTTCCTGATGATGCTGACTTGCTTGTGAATAAAAAGCTTTTCTGAAGCTTGTCTCTGAATCTGTCTGTTCCTGTCTGGCTTGCTGCCTTCTCTTGGGCAGAGCCAAGTGAGTCTGTGGCGACCTGTTCAGTGCCAAGGGTGGTGTGTCTGCTGGGATGTGGATGTTTGTCCGGTACACACAGGACAGAAACTCTGCATTTCTCATGCAGATAGCAAGCGATGGCAAGGGGGTGACAGCTTCTGGGCAGCGCTGCTCTGGGTGGGCTGCCAGCTGCTGCCATAAAGATACTGGAACTTACTGTACCTCCAGGTTAATCTGAGCCTGGGGGCTGCAGCGGCTGGTGAGGGAGCTCTCAGTGCTCGGGGTTGGAGGATCAGAGCTGTGTGGTTCCTGGTTCTCACACAGAAAGGTGCTCTGCAGGTTGTTTGATGTGGCCTCCAGACGGGCCCACAACTTCCTCCAGCTGAGCTTGTGTCCATGGAGACGGGCAGTCGCGCCGGGAAGGGACGGCAGGGCAGGAGAGCGGCTGGTCGGAAGGGTTTGGGCTCGGGGGGAGGCTGGTCAGGGCTCCCCTCTGCTCCCCTCTTCGCCTCTGTGGTCAGCAGGGCTTGCCTGACCCCCGAGGAATGAGCTCCTGTGGCTTAACTCTGGCACCTCCAGCCAAGACCGTGGTGGTGTACCGCAACGGTGACCCCTTCTTCCCCGGGAGGAAGTTTGTAGTGAACCAGAGGCGGTTCCCGACCTTTGAGGCGTTTCTGAATGAGGTGACCGAGAGCATTGGGGCGCCCTTGGCTGTGAGGAACCTCTACACACCCAAGCACGGCCACCGCGTCGCTGCGCTGGGGGACCTGCAGGAGGGGTGCCAGTACGTGGCTGCGGGCTTTGAAAAGTTCAGAAAGCTCAAGTGAGTAGATGGGACCTTTGGTCCCTGGGTTTGGCGAGCGGCTTTAGATCTCCTCTGCGGGGAACGTATTGGCGTGTGAATGGAAAAGAGGTAGGAGGGGTAGAAAAACAGAGACAGATTAATTTATTTTCCTACTGGAAACTACTGGACGTATTCCAGATTGCATGGAAAACGCAAATATTCCTGATAAGGTCAGTTGACTCTCAGAAGAAAACATGTTGGGGGATGCGTGCGTTCTCTGGTGGGGTGTTGTGATCAGTGCCTGCCCTGCACCGTGTTCTGTGGCGTGTGAGAGGTTCTGCTGCCCCTTCCTTGGCAGGGCTGGCAGGCGCGCTGTCTCCACGGACAAACGCTTTTGCTTTGGCTTGATGAAGGTTTTTTTTGTTTTCTAATCCTGCACAAAGCAGAGCTGTTTGGGTTCATCCTGAAATACAGAGGGTTAAAGAAGTTTTTGTGGCACCGCTTGACTGTTGAGGGGATGTCTGTGTGCACGCCAGGTGAATTTGGCTCCCCCGTGTATATTATTGCATTTTGCTGAGGAGATGGTCCAGGCTGCATTAACACTGATCAGCCTTTGGATCAGTGAGTAACATAAAGAAATAAAATCTTCCGGGTGGCTGAAGTGGTCTGTATTTGGCTGGGAAATCCTGAAATGTAGCAGATTTTAGACTGAAGTTCTGGGAGGCACCGGGAGAATCGTTTCAGACGTGACTCAAGCCAAATCCGGTGGCGAGGCACCAAGGCACCAGCTGGTTGTCTCCTCACTGCTCTTTAGTCGGCCACAGCCCGGTTGGTCTGTGGCAACGTTGATGTCTTGTTCTCACAGCTATTTAAATCGTGGAAAGAAGGAAATCCGTGGGACAAGGAACAGCGAGGGTCTGCAGGTGGGTCCGGAGTTGAGCAGGGGCAGGCGGGGGTGCAGAAGGAGCGGGGAGGTGGGAGAGACAGTAGGGCTGGCACGGGTGAAACTAAAGTTGAGATTTTAAGGCCGCGAGGTTCCCGGTGGAGATCAGGCAAAAGTGCCCCAGGAATCAGGAGGCCACGTGAGGTGGTGCAGGCGCTGCTGCCGTGTGCCTTTGTCCCCCGCAGTGGTTGCAGGGGAAGGATTTGTGCTCAGGGGTCCGCTGGCAGTTCTGGAACGTGCTCAGCTATGTGAAGAGCCTCTCCAGCCTTGACGTTGCTGACAACAAACCCCAGGCAGCAGCGGGAAGCCTGAAGGCAGGGCAGGCAGTGCCCGATGGAGGAGAGGGAACAGCCCGGGGTGGCTCTGTGCCAGGGCTGTCGCTGTTCTCCTGCACCGAACTCGGTCTCTAGTTCCCCACCGTAGCTCCCTGGCAGTCGAACAACTTGGCGCGATGGCAGAAGCACCCCCGCCTGCCCCGCACGATACAGTAAGTGTTTTCTCCCTGGAGGGTCTCTGGGAGTGGGTTTGGAGGCTGGAATTTCTCTGTAAGATCCTGGGAACGCTGCCTCACAGGGACAATTCCCAGCTTCTACCAGAAATACTTGTAAATATGGCCAGTGGGTGGCTTTTTTTCCCCACCTGCTGCAGGAATACTGTCTCACCGCGTGCTCTGGGTTGTTTCCACCGCAGTGTTTTCCGGAACGGGGACTTGCTGAGCCCTCCTTTCCCACTGTCTCTCTCCACGAGCACCCCGCTGCAGTGGGACACGCTCCTGGCCACGCTGACAGGGAAAGCCAACCTGCGCAGCGGAGCCGTTAGCAAGTGGGTATCCAGACAAGGCACTGCTGGCTCCCCTCTCCTTATGTCCAGAACATAAGCAGCATTGATTAGCACAGAGGACTGGGAGAGCAGCCTGCTTTTGCAAACTCATTTGCTTTTCAGGTTTTCCCACCTTTAAAGCGGATGTCCTTTGTGAGGAGGGCTCACGTTGCTGGTGGTCTGGTGAAAAAAGCAATAAGCAAACAGTAAAGCATGGCATAAAAAGGAGTTTATGTCTAGAGGGAGGGGCTTTCATCGAAAAAAAATACAGCCTACCTCCTCCTCATACACCGACTTACTGACACCCAAGGAGGAAGCTGAGATCTCAGTGATCACTGGGTGTAATATTTCCACGTACTTCCTTGATGGATCCTCCCTGACTTGTCTCAGTCCTGTTTATCACGTTGGCTTTTGTGCTGAGGGGTTGTTCGGGCCCTTGTGACCGCTCTAAACCCTGTGCTGTTTCTTCCTCAAGGCTCTGCAGGCTGGATGGAACCCAGGTGTCCAGCGAGGAGGAGCTGGTGAATGGCGATTACTATGTGGCAGTGGGAAATGAGGAGTACAAAAAACTGCCTTACTTGGAGCTGCTGGTGCCCCAGGATTCTGTGGGCAGGACGCTGTGGTACGTAGACTGCAGCTGAATGGTTTAAAGAATCCTCTCCGTGGTGGTCTTCAGCTAAAGCCATCCTTTTTGTAGCCTTCCTGTTCAGTGCTGTCTGCTTCGGGGCTTGAGTTTTGCTTCATGTGTTGGAAGTTGAGGAAGGAAGAATGTGTTTTCAAAGCTGTTGGTGTAAGGGTTAGCCGCTGCAATCCAGAGTTCAGTGCCAAAGAAAGCAAGTGGTTTGGTGGTTTCTTAGTTAAGTGTTCCCTGAGCACTGAGGGGCATCAGATTTCACAGGCCGTGTGATACAACAGGAGCTGCTGCAGAGTGTGTTCTACCTGCGCTGAGAAAAAACACCTCCAGGGACCCTCTCTTACGGGGAAAAAGAGGCGATCGTGTCCTCCTACAGCTGACTTCTGCCTCACGCTGAGAATCTGCTGTTTCTTTGTTACAGGAACCACCCAAATAGCAGGCGTAAAAAATACCACAGAAGGGTAGGTGGCTCAGCTGGCACAGGACCGCTTGTGCTACGATCGCAGCTGCTTTTGTGCAGACATCCATCCACACGCAGGGGATGCGTCCAGCAGCCTCCACTGCCAACTGCCATGGCTACAGCATCCTTGCTTGGCACCCTTCCCCGCAGGAGAGGAGCTACAGACAGCTATGTGGCCATCTTACGCTTCAATTCAATCTCACTGCCTCAGAAAAAACTCCTTAAGGTGGCCTCACTTTGGCTGATGGGCAGGGAGAATTCATCCTGGAGCCAGGGTATCTTTGCTGCTCACTGTGTGGGTAAAACGCCCGACAGACTTACAGATAGAGCAGCTGGGCCGTCCTAGGTTGTCCATTAAAATGTGCATCGGTGTTATTTTGCTTTTAATTTTTTTTTTTTTTCTTGTTTTCAGTTTGGTGAACTCTGTGCCACCTCTCAGATCAGTGCTGGTGACTCTGCTCTTGCTGAACCACCCCAACAGGTCGTAGTGAGTGCAAAAAAGTGTTTTTTGTGTTCCCTATAGCTGTTTCAGACGTAGCATCAACTTAAAACCCCAGTCAGAGAATGCAGTGTTACAGCTTTGTACCAGTCAGGATCAAGGGGCACAGGAGAAAGCTGCAGAGTTTAGGCAACTGCCTCGCAAAACTTCTCTTACTTTATAAACTGCTTTATCAAGAAGGCCTAAGCGGTGTGTGTGTGGTATTTCCAGCTGGACAGTCACAGGGTGCAGACCACAGGAGCTGCAGAGAAAGACGCGATCCCAGCTGCTCTTCCACGCCTGCAAAGGCAAGGGGGGAAATCTCACCTCAAAGAGTTCATTTTCCACGCTAAACCCGTCCGTGCAGGACGGAACAGAAGGAGCAGCAGGAACGTGCAGCACTGGCCTGATCAAGGTAAAGGCTGTACGGGTAGAGGGAGATTGGCTTTGCTGTGATGCTGAAGGACAAAATACCTGCAGAGGCACTGAGAGAAAGCAGTGATGCATGCAGTAACTTCTGTATTTCTGCTTTCCTCTCCTCCTGGGAGACACATACAAGGACCTTTCTGAAGGCACAGCAAGACCAGGCCATGGCTATCTGCAATACCCGCTGCACAGCTTTTTTCTTTTCTTCTCCTCACAGAAGAAAGTGTCTATAAAACCAGGGATCCTAGGAAGGAGATGCGAGGTGCCCAGGAAGTTAAAGACGATGAACACACAAGGGCGGATGTACCCACTGATCAGGTCTGAGGAATTATTGTCTGCCTTGTCAGGAGTCTCACTGCTGCAGGGAACTATTCCTGGCCCCATTAGAATCTCTCGGTGCTGCAGGGTGGCCAACTCCAAGTGCCAGTGCTTCAGAGACAGTCTGTGGGAATGCATCAATCGATAGTTTATAGCAATTGCTTGGGGAAGATCTTCAGTTTCCTCAGTTGTTTTAAGTCCTTTGTTAGGTTTATGAAGCTGCGATGTGTAAAGATGAAAGTAACCACCAGAGGGAACTTCAGGAACCAGAGGACAGTGTGTAACTGCAGGGCTTTGCCTTTTAGAAAGCAGAGAGGTTGTCATCTGGGTAATGCACATTTCCCTTCTGGAATGGGAGTTACAGCTTCCCACTGCAGTAAGGATATCAAAGGCTTTCCTGGATGTGGTTTTTTTTTTTTTTTTGGTGTGTACTACCTCTCTGCTTACTCCTGTTCCAGAGAGTTTCAGAACTCAAAAGACAGAAGGATACACCACAGTAAGGTATTTATTCCACTTAATGGTTCTATGAAGTGTGTAAGATCCTTCCTGGCTGTGTTCACATTCCTTACACTAAAATTCAATACCCCCAAATAAAACGTGTTAAGCAGAACTTGCCTGTGGGCAGCTGAAGCTTAGAAGCTGGCAGGGAATAAACATGTAATTCCTAAAATGACAGAACACATTTATTAGAAAGTAACAAGTTTCAACCCTTATTTTTTTTTAAAAGGGGACAAAAAGTAGTTCTTCCTAAAATAAAATTCCGTGTGAAAACGTCTGTCAGATGCTTATTGTTTGTGGTGTATTAATGTTTTAAGCTTTTCATAAGGACATTTAGAATTGATGCAATGGGATGATACACATCATATTGTAGGTGATTCATGGTTCTGCCTAGGTAGTCTCTTTAGATTAATTAGAACTTCAAAGGAAAACAACTTCTTTGAACTTAAATTAGCGAAAGCCCTAGTAAAGAGTGAGCTAATGGCTCCTGACTTCTTGCCTCAACGGGGAGCCTGGTGGGCTGTGTTTGCTTTAGACACTGGGCCAGCATTTCTCAGCGGGGTAGGCACTGTGATGCTGCTGCTTTCTGTTGGCCTCCCCCCCCCCATCACACTTCTATACAGTTGTTATTATTCAGTGTCACAGCTCCCCTCTGCAGTGGGAGAAGCATTAGGCATTAAATAAATTACCTCTGAATTTAATGTAGAGACCCAAGTTCGCATACCAAAGCCACGGTAAGACTGGAAACAGAATCCAGGAATTTAGTCCCAGAATCTTTCAGTAATAGTGATGTGCTGCATTAATAACTGTTACTTTTTTCTCGCTGCAAAAAAAAGGCACGAACCTCAGAAAAATCACCAAAGGCTGGGGGAAGGAAAAGGGATGCCAGCGACTCTGAGGATGGAAAGCACCCAATGATGTTGCCCTTGGCAGCAAAAAGCTCTGAAGAGCTCACCAAGGGACTGCGATGGGAGAAGAGGGACGACTAGGTACGTGGCTGTCCGTGCAGCTGCAGGTAACTTCTGTAACAACACGGACTGGTCAGGCTTTTTGATGAATTAACAAACTCTTCTCGACTCAAGCATCCTCATCACCTAGGCTTGAGAAGCGGAGCACCAGCGAGCAAGGAATCAGATGCATAATGTTGTTAAATAATGAAGCTCTTTTCCCCTTTCCTCATCCCTGTGGTGTGACGGTGTGGCAGAGCAGATGGCTGCTTTTCTGAACTCTAATTAAGCTGGTTTGTATCTGAACTTGGGAAGGAAGAATTACCAAATACAAACCTTTATAACAAAATGTCTGCCAGGAAGCTTGTTCTATATCAGATACTTCTTGTAAAGAGATTTCATCACACCACTGTCCTTCTGATTTGGAATGCTTGGCTAACGCGTGCAGCAATCAAACCTGTTCCTAAAACTATGTATGTATTTTGTTTCTGTTAGCTTTTTTTAGGCGCATCTGCCTCATTCAGGAAAAATCATAGTAATAAACAGCTCTTGTATGAACCCTCCTTGTGCAAGGCTTTCTATATTTCCCTCCCTAATGTTCCTGATTAACTACAAGGGTAGCGAGATTTTTCCTGCTGTGATCTATCTGGTATTTTGGACTGGTAATTTCACTGAAAAGAAAAAAACCCTTCCTTCCTTCCCCAGGGGCAGAGGGCACTGCTGTTATTTTTCAGCTGAGAGGCACTCTGCAAGACTCCAGTGCAGAAAAGCCTTGTGGTAACCTCAGGGTAAGGGGCTGTGCAGCACAACCTGGTACGCTGCAGCTGAGCGCAGCGGAGGAAGCCACTTCCACGTGCTTGGCCACAAAAAGGGCAAGTTCCTAAATAGATTCCTTCTACAGAAAAACCACTTGGTTCCAGAAGCTCCCTTTGAATGATTTATTAACCATTTATTATCCCTCCATTGCTGAACAAGACAATTCAATCATCCCTGCCTTGAAACACCCACAGACAAAAAATTCCTTAACTCAAGACATTAAATAGGATGTCCCTGCAACATGCCTTGTTCGACCCTGGTGTTCAGGGAATGCAGTCCACGTTTTCACATTTTTTGTCAGCTCTGTGTCAAAATACAGCTTCCTAGGTGCAGCTGAGCCGGAGGGTCTGCTGCTGAGCCAGAAGCCCCCCCTTCAGCCACAGGGGTCACCTTTGAACAAGTTCTCTTCCTCTGCTTCTCGCTGCGTCTCGTTCACGAGCCAGCTACACAGAGAGTAACTCCCAGGACAGTGAGCAGCATTCCTGCCACGGCCCCTGCAGAAATGAAGGATAGCATGTTGGGAACCTACACGGTTCAACCCCAGTCACATCATCTCATTGCTAAATACGTGATGCTCAGGTGTTGTGGTAAATAGGAGAGCATAAATGTCCGGACTGGGTGAGTTCTGAAGGGGTCTGGATGTCTGGACTGCCCGTGTACGTGGGGCAAAGCCCATTTCTAAGAAAATGCAGATGCTGTACGTCCGGTTAGTGAGAATCAGGCTTCAACAACCCAAACCCATTTTAGTGTATTCCTACAGCTGCTGTGCCAGGACCTCGTGTTTTTAAGCTTTCGAGTTTCCTGGCATTTTCTGACTTTCTGAGCAGGGTAATGTTATTGTAGGATGTAAGGGAAGGAAAGAAGGATGGATGCTGACATCGGGGGGCTTATGGGGCATTCCTTTTCCATGGTGGCCGTATTATTTAGTTGTCCTCTTATGATTAAGCATCTAGTTAGATAAAGGCTCAGGTCTGAAAACTCTGTTAGCTTAGAATAGCCAATTCTCACTTCAAATTTACTAGCCCTGCCCACTCACAAGTCTGTTTCACTTCCCTTTCAGGTTCTGTAGCAAGAACTGCTACTTAACTAGTTAAAGCCCTTCCGTGGGTATTTGCTGTTTTTCAAACCAGAGGGAAGCCCACGCTATTAAATCAGCAAACAGGTGCAGGAGACAACGTGAGGAAATGTTTTAAGTGTAACTTACTTTTACCACCGAAGTCCTCTCCCAGAATCCTCCCAGTCACCAGCGTGAATATCAAAGCCAGGGAGTTACACAGTGGTACTGCCAGGGACAGATCTGAAGTTGAACAGTTTTAACACAAACAGTTGAAAATGGCCAATCTTGTACAAATCGTAAGACTCCTGTTTTATTTGTGATTGTTACAGGACAGATGCTTGATGTTTAGGTGAGTCACCAGAGTAATTAATGGCACTGATCCTCCCAAAATCCCAATCAACCCACTCCACGAAAAGCAACAAGAACTAACCTGCGGATGCCAAGCTGAGGTAGAAGAGGAGAGATCCACCTTGATTGAGCAGAAATGGCACCATGTACTGCAGGAAGAGCACAAGCCTCTCAGCTGCTGCTGGTAAACCCACCGGGCACCCCCACAGAGCGGACAGCTAAGGAGCCCAGACCCAATTGCCCTGTGCTGTGTTTGGCAGCAGAGATGTGGCACGCTGGCAATTCTGCTGCCAGTCACAAGCTGCTCGATATCCTAGTTCCCCCATCTGCAGAAAGCCCCCAGTGCTCATTTCATGTAAAATGCGAGGGTTAATGACCTGCTGCCTATGAAAGCAGTCTCAATTCTGCATGGGAAGAGCAGTGCTATAGACAATTAAATGAAATATTACGGAGAATAAGGAATTCTCATGATAGATGGAATATTTAACAGTTTAAATAGATGTATAAAGCCCAGAATTAAACAGGTAGGAATGATCCCAAGGCAGTTTGACAGCCTGCCATGGAGCCCGGACAGGGTCGCACCTTGTAGTTGAGGCCCAGGAAGCGGATCTCGGCCAGCAGCTGCTGCAGGCGGCCCTGGCACCGCACCTCCTCCAGCCCCGCCGCGCCGGTCCGCAGGAACGGCCCGGTGCTGCCCCACAGCACAGCCACCAGCACCAGCGCCGCTGCCTCCCCTACGGCACAGCCTGCGCTCAGCGGCCTGATGGCCCCAGTGCGGGGGATCTGCCGTCACCGCCCGCAGAGAGCCCGCACGGGGTCAGCCCGTCCTCATGTCCCTGCAGAGGGCCTGGCCTGGCCCACAGCCATCCCCCATCAGGGCCAGCCTTCACCAGCCCGGCTCGCTGCTGTCTCCCACCGGGAAGGAACCCACCCTGGGCCTGCTGCCGCGTCCCCCTCAGGAAAGCCCCGCACAGGGCCCGGCCCGCGGCCACGCTCCTTCAAGGAAAGCGCCAGAGCCGGCCGAGCCCGTGGCCACGCTCCCCCCGGCCCCGGG